GTGCTCTGCTTCTCTCTGATTTGGGCATCACAGGGACCAGCCTTGTGTTTCCGTATGTCCAGTGACTGAGTGGTAAAGGTTGTTTCATTCTGGGATTCAGTATTAGGAAACCTACATTTAGGTGTTGTCCTTTAAAGCCTTTATCAATAATAAAGATGGTATCGGTGATGACTCCTTAAATCCTTTATTGGTTCTGAATTTGAGTAAAAGAAGTGGGTCCCACAAACCCACGTGGCTTATGTTGCCTGGTTGGTCTGTTGGGATATGCATGGTTAGCTTAGTAGAAATGGAAAAATCATGATTATAATTGATAATTATGCTAGGTCCTGTTATATGAGTATTTCTGATATACTGATGTCCAGACAGGTTTAAAGCAACAAGCCCTTGGAGCTTTTAATCCTTAGCAGCTCTGACAATAGGGGAGTAGGTCATGATCTTGTTGAAAGCCATGTGACTGTGTTGTGTAGTGTGGTACAGTGAAAAGAACCCAGAATTTCAAACCCAAAGACTTTGCCTCTAAGCTCAGTTCTACCATTTATAAGGCTTTCTCCAACCCCATTCTAACTCACTGATCCTCAGCTTTTCTATGAAGGTCAATTTCCGTCCTCCTTTCTCACAGGTTATAGCGGGTTCTAATAACTGCATGTAAGAACTGTGTTTTGTTATTAGCAGGCTGTGCTAATGACAATGTCGTTGGTCCGATCCCCAAGTAGCCAGCATCTTGTTTCGTGTCTGACCTGGATAAATTGAGTCATAGCATTGTGTTCCACTCTGTTTTGTTAGTTTTGATTGTTTTGTTTAACGGCCAAGTAAAAATTGAATACATACTTGTAAAATATTTAAACAGGGTAAGTGTAAAAAATAAATGTTTAAGTTCTCCTTAATTTCTCCCACCACTACTTTCAGTCTCCTCCCCAATGGTAATCAGCATTAAATTTCAAGATATTCAATGTGTGTAGGTGTGTGCATACATGTGCATACATGTGGTTATGTGAATGTTTTTCAGGATCCTTTGTTTTAAAAAAAGATTTTATTGGGGGATTGGGGAAGGGGAACAGTGTTGGGAAATTGGAGAAGGAAATCAGCGAAGTTGTTGTCCTTCAATCTTAGTTGTGGAGGGCGCAGCTAGCTCAGCTTCAAGTCCATTCGCCATCCGGCCACCTGTCAGCAGCTTGCGGCTGCTCAGCTCAAGGTGCCGTGTTCAATCTTAGTTGCGGGCGGGTGTAGTCCACCATCTCCAACAGGCAACCTTGTTGTTAGGAGCATGTGCTCTCACCAGCTGAGCCATCCTGCCTCCTGTTGGCAGCTCAGCAGCAGCTCAGTTTGGGCACAGTATCACTGGCCCATGTGGGAATCGAACCGGCGACCCTGTTAACTTAGAGCTCGCGCTTTTGAGCAAGCTCTTAACCAGCTGAGCCACTTGGCCAGCCTAAATGTTTCTTCTTACGTATATTTCTTGGTTTAATATAGTCCTAATTGTGTTGCTTGTGTTTTAGGTGTCATATCCAAAAATTCATAGCCAAGACCCATATCAAGATTTTTTATTCCTATTTTTTCCTCTAGGAGTTTTATGGTTTCTGGTCTTACATTTAAGTCTTTAATCCATTTAATTTTTGTGAGTGTTGTAAGACAGGAGTCTAGTTTCATTATTTTACATATGAATACCCAATTATCCCAGAACCATTTACTGAAGACTGTCTTTTCTCCAGGAAGTATTCTTGGTTCTCCTGTCAAATATTAGTTGACCATATATGTTTGGGTTTATTTCTGGGCTCTTGATTTTGTTCTGTTGGTCTGTGTGTGTTTTTATGCCAGTACCATACTGTTCTGATTAAATAACTTCATTTTATTTAAATTGATTTTTTTCCTTATCCCCTCATCAGCTCTCCTTTGACAACTATGGATAGCTTTATAATACGGCTTGAAATCAGGATGTGTAATGCTTCCCACTTTTTTTTCCCCCCTCAGGATTGCTTTGGTATTTGGGGTCTTTTGTGGTTCCATACAAATTTTAGGACTGATTGTGCTACATCTGTAAAAAATGTCTTTGGCATCTTGGGGATTGCAGTAAGTCTGTAGATGGCTTTTGAGTATTGACATTTTAACCATAGTAATTCTTCCAATCCATGCATTTGAGATACCTTACCATTTGTTTCTTCCTTGATTTCTTTCCTGTCTTGTAGTTTTCAGAGTAGAGATATTTCACCTCTTTGGTTAAATTTATTCCTATGCATTTTACAGTTTTTAATAGTATTATAAATGGGATTATTTTATTTATTTTTCAGATAACTCATTGTTAGTGTACAGAAATGTTAATGCTTTTTGTAAATTTTGTTATCGTGCATCTTTACTGAATTTGATTACATCTAACATTTTTGTGGTGGAATCTTTAGGATTTTCTATATATAAAGTCATGTTATCTGCAAATAGAGACAATTTTACTTCTTCCTTTCCAATTCTGATGACTTTTTTTTTTTCTTGCTTGGCTTTCAGTGCTACGTTGAATAGGATTGGTGAGAGTGGGCACCCTTGTCTTATTACTGATTAGAGGGAAACCTTGCAACCTTTCAGGAGTATGTTAGCTATGTTTGTAATATGTGGCCTTTATTATATTGACATATATTGGGAGCTGGCTGGGATCAGCCAGGGACACTGAGGCATTAGGTTGGCAAGCTTGGGTCTCCAGGTAGATACAGGCCTGGGGTGAGCGGCTTTGGAGCAGTTTGGATTTGCCTCCGTTTAACCTTGCCTAGCTGTATCATTGGTTTATATTGTGTATAACATAGCTTGTTGCTGAGGAGAAATTGTTTCTCCTCAGCCCAGGAGTTTTAGCTTTAGGGAATCACTCCCTAGAATGAGGAAATCGCTTCCCCTTAAGAATCTTGTATGCCCAATAAACGAGGTCTCAGTTTTGCCACCAGCAGACAGAGTCCCTCCTGTCCCCGCACTTTGTCTTTCTTCTCTTTTTTCATCTCCCACCCAATCCTCTCTGGTACCCATTTGGTGAGCTCCTGGCTGATGAGCCAGGGGCTTTCGGTTGAGCGAGCTGGTCTCGTTCACAGGTACAGTCCTTCTGTACTTAATTTGTTGTTTTTATCATGAACAGATGTTGAATTTTGTCAAATACTTGTGTGGCTATTGAGATGATCAGGCTTTTTTTTTTTTCCCTAATGTGATGTATCACATTAATTGATTTGTGGGTGTTGAACAATCCTTGTGTCTAAGGGATAAATCCCACTTCATAATGGTAAATGATTCATTTAATATTGTTGTTGAATTTGGCTTGCTATTATTTTGTTCAGAACTTTTGCATCTATATTCGTCAGGGATATTGCACTGTAGTTTTCTAGTAGTGTCCTTTTCTAGCTTTGGTGTTAGGTAATGCTGAACTTGTAAAATAAGTTTGGGAATGTTCCCTCCTGTTTGATTTTTTATTTGAAGAATTTGAGAAGGCTTGGCATTAATTCATCTTTAAATGTTTGGTAAAACTCAACAATGAAGCCATCTAATCCAGGGCTTTTCTTTATTGGGAGATTTCTGATTACTGATTGAATCTCCTTACTAGTAATTGATTTGTTCAGATTTTCTCTTTCTTCTGGATTCCGCCTTGGTAGGTTGTATATTTCTAATAATTTTCACATTTCTTCTAGATCTATACTCATCAGTGGGCAGGGCTGACTCAGCTCCCCTGACCTAGCAGGGTTAGAATAGGCTCCAGGGCTGGTAAGGCTCTGTTTGAGGACCTCAGTCAGGCAGACCTGCATCCCACCACGTTCCCTCATCATACTGCACCATCACCTTGACTCTATCTACAGATGAGCAAAGCCACTGCTTGGGAGTACTACGTGGGCATTTCAGGTAGGAGCTCTGCCAACTTCTGAGTGCAAATTGTTGCAAGCCCTTGCCCTTCTCCATTACAGACTCCCAGTGGTCAAGCCCCACAGATTTCCAGGGAGAGACCAGAATGGGAGCTCATGAGAAGCAACCCAGATTTCTGGGGAAGTGGATGTCTACCCTGGGAAACCTTTTTGCAATGGGGGAACTACTGGTTCTGGGGAGACCTCTTGGCATGGTGCTGTGGTGGCTGGGGAAGGGGAAATGCAGTCAATATGCAGCCACACCTCTAATGCAGTGTGTCTTGGTCTCTTATCCATGAGTATAGTTATTAGTTTTTCTTGTGAGGGAGAGCGAAGTCAGGAGTGACCTATGTTGCCATCTTGGTGACGTTACTGTCCGCATTGTTTTATATGTACAGCATACTTTAATTTTTAAAAAATATTTAGCTGAAAGTTAAAGGGGTATTTTTTTTTAAACAGATAATGCTGTTTATTACATATACTCCTATACCACTGGGTCTAAAGCAATACACACCCAGCAATACATACCTGAAGTAGGTGGGGACGTAAACTGTGCCCAGAATGAAGCCAAAGCAAGGGTAAGGAGGAAGAATTGTGTACAAATAACTCTGTAACTGGGTATTTTTTGATATATAAAGGATTCCCTGAAGACTGCACCATCTTGATTATATTTAAGTTATTCTCAGATAAAGTTAAATTATATTGTTTAAAGAAAAAAAAACTGTTGAAAATAACCATACTATACATTAATGCATTTGCAGTTGATTTATATAGGGAAAGGTCGTTTTTTATTTTTACTATGAATATACCTATTTTGAAAATACTACCCAGCATAATTAAAGTAGCTTCAGATGAAAAGTTTTTGAGCAGTGCTTCTCAAACGTTGTTCATCAGATCAGTCACCTGGTAGGACTGTTAAAACAAAATATTGATTGCTGGGCTGCACGCCAGAGGTTTGATTCAGTACGTCTGGGGTGGGGCTCAGGAATGTGCTGGTAACAAATGTCCGGGTGATGCTGAAGCTCCAGGTAACTACACTTCTCGTGTCAATCTAGCCCCAACAATCTGCCTTTTTATTTGGTTTTTCCTATCCTGCTGATTCTTCTTGAGTTTGATGAAATAAATCAAAATCACACACACAAATCTCTTGGAGGACAAAATTTTATTCTAAAAATATATCTCAGTAAGAATGAAATATCAAAAGCTGGTCATTGTAATAAAAAGGAAAAAGGAATTTGCTTACAATTTTTTTTCTGAAGTATACAAAATTATCACTGTAATACACTGCCAACTCTCATTTATCTGTATTTGAATTATTCATTTTATGGATTAGCCAAGGAAATTTTAAAAATCATTGATTAGATTCTGCCTAACATTTAGATATACATCTGGATTGCTTTTCAAGTAAATACAATAAAACTGAACATTTGCTTGAGTAAACGTATATAGAAAGATAAATTTATGTTTAAGAAATGAGCTCCAAAGCTAAATATTGATTTGCATTAGTTTCTCCCAATTTTTGCACATAACCAAAAAAAAATAAAAACTTGACTGCATTAAAGTACTGGTATTTGAAAGTAACAAATTATACAACTTATATACAGAGAAAAGACAACTAAATTATTTCAAACCCAAAGCACAGGAAACTTTAAAGGCATATAATGACATTTAATACTTTTTAAAAAGTGGTTTTTTTAACTTCAAAGTGCTAAAGAAACAAGTATTCAAGGAAATTTCAAGCCTGTCTACAAAGTTCTGACTAATTTGAAGTACTCAAATATCAAGAATGCAAGGGACAATCAAGTTATATTTAAAAGGCGCCCATTTCTATAAAATGTATCTTAAGTATATTTTGCAAAATATTAAAGCAGTAGTTGAAAGACCAGTCAGGGCTAATTAGTAACATACAGCTTACCTATCAAGCCCATCTTTTTTCAAACTAAATAAACATGTTTCATAATAATTCTTCCACTTTGCATGTGTCACATACATCCTGTCATATTCATACTTTTGATGATTTTTTGATCCATATTCATCACATTAATTAGCCATAATGCACAGTGAGTAGTAGAAATGATCCTTTTGTATCAAAATTCTTGATACATGATATTCTCTGTAAACCAAAAGCTGATCACAAAAGTTACATTTAATTCCTATTAAATGTAGGTGCATGTTCTTTAGGACATCTTAGCTCATTTTTAGACTATTAGAACTTGGTGTGATTTACTTTGACCATTCTAAGACAGAAATAGTATCTTAGTATTTACATTTAGTTGACTAAATATATCTTTTGTTAAAACTTGACCCTGAGTTTTGAGTGCTGGAATATAAACTGTAAAACTGAAACACTCCAAAATACGTTGGCTAATATTGGTGTCCCTACAATACTGTGCTTTTTCTCTCCATTAACATAACACATATGAAAAGTGCCTCATCTTCAGCAAGGCAGGAAGAGGAGTGTCTGAAGAATTCCCAAATAAGGAAACAGGAAATTTGCTGTCTTAAAATTTTCTGTTTTAAAACGTCATGAGAATTTATTCCAAAATACATAGGTGTTTCAGTGTGAAAATGCTGTTTCCCCTAATTTTTGAGTAAAATCAACAGTGCAGGAAAAGGCAGCCTTTTCATCCTGTAGGTTTAGTAGCCTGAGGGGAGCTCCACAATCCCTGGCTTGATAAACAGCGTTAACCTATATTCTGACTATACAGAGTTCTAACTGTTTTGGAATTCATATAAGGGGCTTTTTTTTTTCTTTTAAGTTAGGTGTGTTTACACTACATTAAACATTTCTAGTTATTGAAAGCAGATCTACACACATTTCAAAAATAGTCACTAAATAGGTAATAGCTGACTATAAAATAAAGCAATTTCCAGTGGTGATGATATCCTCACAGTAGCAAGTAATCTAACTTCTTATTTAATACTAAGAACTAACTCATTAAAACATTATCATGTTAAACATTGAAATTTGCTGAAATTAGAGAGGAAACAAAAGAAAGTTATATCAAATGCCATTGAAAGCTCAAAAGAAATTATTAATAAAAACACAGGCTCTCCAGTGGCTCTCTAACAGGGCTAAGCCTAGGTATTGTTTCTGCTGTTTTGGGGGGCTGGTACATTTTGTTTCTAAACCAAGTACTAAGCTTTGAAACATTAAAATACTGGTGCTTTCTAAAGAGACACTTAAACTAAAATTATGCTTAAGACCCGGTTTACTCATAAAATTTCCATTGTGTGACACTAGTAATTAGGATAGATCCAGCCCTGAACAGCACTGAAATTGTTCTGTGAACAAAGACAATCAACATCTCGAGGGCCATGACAAGCTCCTTGTGTATGCCAAGAGGGCATCGTGCCCTTCAGGGTGCTTTCCAATTATTGGCCCTGTGTGACCCATGCTACAGAAAAATGGGACAGAACATGTTTGTCTCATATATTTTCTAGAAGTGAAGATAAGCATTGCATTAACTGTACGCTCCAAATGTTCATTAAAAACCCAAACCAAGCCCTGTTTACCTTTAGTAATCATGAGGAGTTTTTACACATTTATGTATTATACATCATAGGCATGGCCTGTTTATACTGTTTTCAAAAAGAGAATGTTGTCTTCAACTAATTGATAGAGTTGCGTCAATCTTCTTTCCATCGGTCCTTGGATTTCCTTAAATGATGGCATCATGTTCATCACTGTAATATAGCAAAAGTTAAAATTACTTTGTTTTGTATTTGTCAAAACTACTTATGTAATTATATTTTTAAGTAAAGTAACAGTTTCAAGTTTCAGGATCAAAATTCATTGTGATTGTGTCAGGTTTCTTAAATGAAAGTATGTGGTGTCCTGTTGTGGCAGAATTCAAACAGTAGTTCAGGTTGCCAAACAGACCTGCACTCAGATCTCTGCTCTGCAGTTTAGTGAGTGTGTGACTTTTCACCAGTTAACTATTCTCACCCTCTTTAAAAAAGAAAATCGTTATTTTTTGAGCATTTACTATGTGCCAGATTTATACTGTAGACTTACATCCTTAACTCATCTAATCGTTACAGTAACCCTGTGTAGAGGGCACTTTGATTTATTTGCTTTATTTATCCATCATCCCATTTTAGATTAGGTAGATGATCAGAAGCTAAGCAAGCATGTGAACTCTCGTCTTGAACACTATGCGCCTCGTTTCTGTATGCGTGGCAAGGCACCCTGTCACTCAGTGGTCAACCAGACTCAAAACTAAGTCTGTATGACCCAGACCCCATCCCTTAACTATTTCACTCCACTGTCTCTCCATGCAATTGCAAGAAACATAAAATGATTAACATTTTAATCAGTTATTATCCAACAAATGAAAACTAGAAATGCTCATTATTACTAGACATAGCTGGTCTTAATTTCTTTAATGGGACAAACATTAACTCCCTACTTATGCATTGTCATTTTTTATAACTTCAAAGGAACTACTGGCTTTAAAATGCACTATTTTTTATGTAGCACTAAGAAAAACACAGTGCTTTCTCATTGCATCAACTCTAAGATATATTCTAATTTCAGAGGTGTTAAAATGTGGAAAAAACCTAAATCGTGTACTTAGACTCAACTAAATGTGGTATTTTCACTATCTCCTTTTCCTATCTGAAAATAAAGACTCCAATTAGAGTCAAATTCTGCTTCTGCCAGCACAGTTCCCTTACAGTAATGGGGACTCTGGACTCCGACTTACCCACAGGGTATGCAGCATGTGGTCATGTATATGTGGAAAACAATTAGCCCACAAAGCTAAAATTCCATACTTTGTAGTTAACGCAGTTTAAAAGGAAAATCGCACATCTTCATTTAACTGCTTCACTGTTTTATAGTTGATGGTACAGAAAAATGGGGCATTTAATTTACTAATATAATCAAAATGTGCCTCTTGTTTAACTGCTTAAATTTACCAAGAAAACAGATGATAACTATTTCTAGAAACCTGTAGCGTTTTTTAAAATACTGCAAATTTTAAGGCTTCATCAGTATTTCTCAAATGTTCATGACATGAAAAGTTTGTGTGGGATGCATATGTGTACAACAACTTAAGAACAAATTCTGGAAAACTGTCATCAATTCTATGGTGTTTATATACATTAAAAGCAAATGAATGAATTGGTGATATTTGTACATGTAAGACTCGAAAGAACCGAGAGGATGTTGTTGGAGTAACAAAAGCTGGGAGATAATACCTCCAAAAATCATTAAGATCTATAGAATTACAAGAAGGGTGAACATGGTTTGGTTATCAGGACTTGATCAAACTCACCTGAAAAAGACAGTTTTACTACAGATAAAATGATAATGTATGTTTTACTAACAACTCATTTGATATAGTAAATTATCAGGGAAAATGTGGCTGTCAGAAGAATTCCTTTAGTTGCTTTCTGTGTCATAGAAAGCAAAAACCATGTTTTTAGTGCTACTGACAAAGAAACAAGACGTGCTAGGTCAACAGCCACACGAGACAGGATAAGGTATTTCTTACGATTAGAGCTACAAGCAAGTGAAAAGGGTTGGCCTAACGTTGTGTTTGAAAAAAAAATGTATGCCACCAATAAAATACATTTTTATAGGTATATGTGTCTATTTTTGTTTGTAAATAATTATAATCAGAAGCTGTACATAAACAATTTACTTTGATGGGACTGTAACTCATAAATCTACAAATTATCCCTAAGATGAAATGAACACTGCCCCACTCTGATACTTTGTCATGAGATTTAAAGAAATACAGAAATAATAAAAAAGTATTGGCCAATCAAAACTCACATGGTTCTATACCGAATGCCTCTTCTTGAATAGTACGTTTTACATCCAATGTAAAGGACAGATAAAAGTCCCAGTGTTAATGCAATACCACCAACAAAGCTGCCAATATCAAATTTTGATCCCTTATTTTCTTTAGAATTTACAGTTGCTGTGACTAGAAGAAAACAGAGCAAAACAAAATAGGCTTTAGTGGTTTTTAAAAACATTGTAATAAGCTAAAACTTCCTGAATTTCTATATCAATGAATGCTGAATTCAAAAGGGGGGAATCTAACCATAGAAAGTTGCTCTCCAGTGTGACTAGTGACTTGCCTCACTCTAGTTTTCTTCAGTTTATCCAACACATTTCTTAAAGAAAAACCCCTAGTGCCTGTCTTAAGGTATTTGATGGTGTGAGACTTGGATACTCTACCAAAACCTCACAGGCAGCAAGACTTGTGGAATATTTTTCCTTAGGAATTCTCTTAAGGGTTCATGCCTGCCTCAACAAAATAGGTCTGGGTAACACAGCTGTAGTCTTGAAACTGGGTCCCATTTGAAGAAATGTTTCAGATTTCTCCTTTTGAATCAATTGGGAATTTAAACTGTTTTGCCTTTATTGTGGCAAGAGTCCCTGACACATTTAAGTAGATTTCCATACATAAATTGGACTAATAAAGAAAATAAACTAGATGGAATAAAATAAATAAAAACACACAAAAGAAACCATAGTCTGGTATTTGTTCTGATAAATTTAATCACTAGCTTTGAAATAGAAATTCAATGTTGGATAACTTAAAAAAACAATCTTAAATAAGGTTTTTGAATACATGGTTTCAAGGGATACGATTTTTAAAAATGCAAAAGATAGACTGCTGAGGTTCTTGATACTACATACATGATTATATCTGATACCATTTTAAAATATCTTTATGGCACAAATGAATTAAATGAGGTTCACCATGATTTCGGCTTAGAAATCATGAAGATTGGGCCGGCCGAGTGGCGCAATGGTTAAGAACTCCCTTGGGATGCCAGAGGGCCCCGGTTCGGATCCCACATATGAGGGCCAGTGACACTGCCCTCCACAGCTAAGATGCTGAACAGCAGCTCAACCTGGAGCTGGGCTGCCATGAGTCGCCGGCGACGGCGTGGGCTGCAGCCCCTGTGGCAGTGGGTTGCCATGGGCTACAGTATGTAGCCAGCAGCCAGCGTGAGCGGCCAGCAGCCGCAGTGAGCGGCCGTCCAGAAGCCGGCGACTGATCTGCCTCGCCAGAGAAGAGCGAAATGATGGTGCCAACTTGGGCCAGTGAAGCAACGTCCTCCACAACTAGATTGAAGAACAAGACGACAGCAACTTGTCTGTTCCCCTTCCCCCAATTCCCCAGCACTGTTCCCATTCCCCCAATTCCCCCAATAAAAATCTTTAAAAAAAAAAAAAAATCATGAAGATTGAGCCTGCCTAATTCCTTCCTATAATGAGGGAGAGAGATAAAGGTATGACAAATTTTCAAACCATGTAAAATAAAATCCAGTTAGGATAGATTACTTATTCACAGATGGGCCTTATATGGTCATTATTTGGCATGATTAAGTTGTAAATGCATTGATTTTCTGAAAGGGACAAGAACGCTAAGTCAATCGACTCTTTTCCTGATCGCTACAACTAACTTATTTAATAGGAAATCACTGCCTAACTTTATTTAGTTTGCAGAATGGAATGATGATGAAAAGGTGGCATTTAACAGCTGTTTTCGGCATGGGAAAAACAGGTCAATTTTAATACTTACTTGTTACTGATGTCACCGAACTATTGTGGGTTGTGGTCATCGTGGATGTTGACATCTGGGTTGTGTTTTGTGAGACACTTGTTACTTTGGTCGTAGACTTTAAGGTGGTGGAAGTCTTATTTGTTGAGACCTGTGGTGTTGTCATTTTGGATGTTATGGGTTTCAAGGTGGTCTCTGTCCCATTTTTTGAGACCGAGGAACCTGGAGTTGTTGATGGTTTTGCTGTGGGTTTCAAGGTGGTAATTGTCTCATTTTTTGAGGCTGAGGAAACTGGAGTTGTAGATGGTTTCACAGTGCTTTTGGAAGATTCATTTGTATGGCTGACAGGCACATGTGGGTTATTCCCTGTAAGAATAACAAGAAACATTAAAACTGGAGCTGTGACTTAGGGAATCAAGATCCCACTTCACTACGACTTTCATGGTCACACGTAAAGAAAGAGGTCTAACAGATACAACAACGTGCAAGATACTTAGTCCATTAATGCTTTGCACTACATAGCAGCAAAATATCTCAAAGTAGTAAAATACTCAACTGGAACCAAGCCTAGATTTACATAAAGTTAGGAATTTTTGTGAAGATGTGAAACAAATAAAACCCAGAGGATTGTGTTCCTTCAATATAGGGACAATCTCTTGACCATCTGTCTAAACGTCTTACCATACTTCCTATCACAAATATTAGTTGAATGGATGAATAAATTAATGGATATATAAGGGTTTTTATAATTTAAAGTTTCTCTACCACATCCTTCCAAGGAGCTTTGAACGCTTCAAATTTCTATTACATTTTCTTGATCTCTACTGTGTGGTCTATTTGGGTCTCTAATACTCTCCCATTGAGTATTATCTAATATTTTTAAGGCCAAAAGAATTAATATTTTTGTAGTATATAGACCAATAAGTTATAATTTTCAAATTGATACAAATGCTGTGAAGTTGAACTAATCTTTTATTATTCAATTCTGAATGCTCTACATGGATACAATACACTTTAACATTAAAATAATCACCTTTCACTTGAAACTAGTGAATGAATTCTATTGTAGTGAAATTAAATACAGCAAAGCATCAGTGTTTATATCCTATGTTTAGAAAAGAATGATCTTTGCAGAGTAAAACAATGAACACAGTCCTGCTCTTGGATTCAGCAGACGCACAGCCCACTCCCTTTTCCCTGCCCAAATCAGCAAATTCTTCTGATACTATACAAAATCACATGGGCAAAAATGGGGAGCTATGTATAACAGGTTAGTTCTCCACAAAGAAAATCCAAGTGTGTTAAAGAAACAACTGAGCCGCTGAGAATATCTACAAATTGACAAAACAGGCAAGTAAGTTTGTATTAGGCTGTGTTTCATGATGTTTAAATGTGTCAACTGCAAGCAAGGATGCTCTCAAGGTCAGAACTCACACCCGGTGACCCAACTCCCAGCCTGTAGTGTAAGTAAAGGTCATTCGTGCTGCTTGTCTCCCCTGTCTCTTAGCTGTTCAGTTACTGCCTAGTACACGTCCAGGGGGTGGCAGAGTTAGCACCTGCAAAGGGTTATGCCCTACCTGACTTTGCCAGTCTTGGCCATTCAGTCTCCTCCAGCCTCTAAGAAGAAGTTGTAAAGGCATGGGGGTGGATGAAACGGGTGAAGGGGTCAAAAGGTACAAACTTCCAGTTATAAAATAAAAACGAGTACGTTGTGGGAATGTAATGTACAGATGGTGACTGTATTTGAAAGTTGCTAAGAGAGTAGATCTTAAAAGTTTTCATCACGAGGGAAAAAAAATTGTAACTACATATGGTGACAGATGTTAACTAAACTTATTTTGGTTGATCATTTCACAAATATGGAATCATCATGCTGTGTACCTGAATCTAATGTCACACGTCAATCATATCTCAATAAAATAAAAAAAATACTAAAAACAAAATCAAAACAACAAAAAAGGAAGTTGTAAAGGCCAGAAGAGGGTAAGTTACTGGAGAGTGTCACTGCTGTGCGTTCACTCCCGCCTCACCCAGGGGGAAAAGAAGAGAACGCTAACCCTCATTTCAAACTAAGCTGGAAAGGCTCCAAGGGAAACACCCCAAGGGCAGGACCAGTATCTCCTGGACTTGAAGGGACAGAAACTAAGATTCAACTGAAGCCTGAAAAGGAACATCTCAAAGTGAGACGGTGTGGCTGAGCCGTCTCTACCTGTCAGCAGAGTTTAAAAGGCTGAACTGGGAGCAGACTATTTCCACTGACAGCAGAGATGCTTGTTTCCATGAACTAACTCAGGCCCCACGGCGTTGCCTTAAAAGATAGCCTCCGGAGAATTCTTCATAGAGGGTCAGCTGGGCGGGTTGGGGCGGAGGGGTGGAGGGGGTGGAGAGGCCCGACAGCATCAAGGGAACTAAAGTGGTGGAGGCCCCAGGTGGAGGGTTTCCCAGGAGCCTACTAAGAGATCCAAGTTGGCCATGAGGGCACCCCTGCCAGCTGAAAACATCCCAGCCTTTACCCCACTGGCTTTCTACCCTTCTGGCCTGATCCTTTAAGGGTCAAAACCAGCAGAAGTGAGGGGAGAAGGCAGAGCAAGGAAGGAAGCCAACAGTGTAGCTTCCCCACTGCAGGCTTCCAATACTGAAGCAGGTCCAGGCTGCTGGAAAGAACTTCCAACTTTGAATCACTGGACGTTTATTACTTTGGTATTATTCTGGAAAGGAGAGGCTCCCTACTACATACAACTCATTCAATAAACGACATACTATCAGTAGACAACACCTCGGTGTAGGTCTAGGGAGGTGGAGCTGCCAGGGAAGGGGTGGATGTGACACACAGTTGTTCCTGCTCAGAGTTACAAGTTGAACTGTGTCCCTCCCAAATTTTTATGCTAAAGTCCTAACCTTATTATAAGGATGTTACCTTATTTGGATATACGATCTTTACAGAGTAATCAAGTTAAAATGATGTCATTAGGGTGGGCCTTATAAGGGGAAATGGGAGGTAAGTAACTCTTATCCTTACAAAATGGGGATATCATTCACACACACAGGAAGAACGCCATCTGAAGACAAAGGCAGAGATCAGGTTGATGCTTCCATAAACAGGAATGCCAGAGATTGCCCGCAAACCACTAAAAACTAGGCAAGAGGCATGGAACGGATTCTCTCAGGGCCCTCAGGAGGAAGCAACCCTGCTGACAATCTGATCTTGGATTCTAGCCTCCAGAACTGTAAGACAAGCAATACTGTTGATTAAGCCACCCAGTTTGTGGTCCTTTGGTATGGCAGCCCTAGCAAGCTAACAATCAGTTCACAGTTTTTTCATTTCTAGCAAAATGTGTCTGTTGGCAGCAGTATAACAGTAGTGATTGTGCTGGTTCCTTTTACAGATGTTTGAAACTAATCACTGTGAGATTAAGTCAGCCAATACTTGTCAAACCACTCTCAAAACTTCTTTTGAAATTATCTATAGATTTCAATCAGATACTTTCTCAATCGTAACTCCTAATTACTAACGTAATCACAGAGAAGTGAAAGGGCTGTAATAACGGTATCTGTGCCCCTTCCCCACAACTGCAGTGTTCAGGAGGAAAAGAACAAGATAAAAAATGTACATATGGATATGGGTGATGTTTTGTCACTGCTGTAAAAATACTCAAAACAGTCCACAATCAGCTCTCTAGTTTTGTGATAAGAGAACTATTTCTCATGCACAATTTCTCTACAATAGAATTAGCTCTTCTCTTTATCAAGTGTTGGTGATGTTTACCAGGCACGGTGGGTATGAGCTCAAGCTCTGATCAGCTCAGCCATTTACTTGGCTGGGTTACCTCAGACAAGTTACTTAACCTCTCTGAGATGCACTCTTTCTCCATCTATAAAAATGGATATCACAAATATCTGGAAGAATTAACTGAGATAATTTGTGTTGAGCACTTAGTACAGTGCCTGCTACAGAGAACATGCATAATGAATGCATGTTTTAGCATTAGTTTCTGTAAGGTTCCCTTATAGAAGGCTAGAGAGTAGGCATGGCCAGACCTCCTATTTCCATGATTATCATTGCTGCCATCTGAATAACATCACATTGAAAAGAATGCTATTGGGGAGATTTTCAGTTCATTGATGTTAATAGTGAACAAGAAAACAGTGACGCCCCAGGCCTTTTATTTTGTCAATACCAATTGGCCACCATCTTATTACAGCAAGGCCAAGGACAGTAGAAAACAGCCTGTATTTTCCAGTACTAAGTAAAAGTACTCATCTTCTTCAAAGTCTGGATTTATTCCAACTATCTTTGTATAACTCTGTTGTGCTGAAATAACTTTCCTTTTTCCTATAACCTTGAGTCCAAAAATATCTAAGTGCCATTTTTTTCCCTTTAAATTAAATACTAATTTCAAACTTAAGGGTCACATTTGTTTTCATCAGGGCATCAAATACACACTGAAACCAGAGCTGAAAATACATATCCGATTTTTTTAAACTTTCAGTTATTTTAAAATGGCATAGTAGCTTTTCTTTTCCTAGTATGGTTGCCCAAATACTAAGGTACTTAAGACATGGCCATAAATTTCTGGTGCTCAAATTATTTTGAAGGGTCTGTGGTTCTAAGCACAGTCTGCAGCTTGTGCATATTAAAAAATAACAGTCTTGTGTGTGGCTCTGGGAATATTTTTAAGTACTGATAACTAAATATCAGGGTAATACTTGAAATATTCATTATTTAGAAAGCCAGAAGCCATTGCATGATGTCAATACTCATTCCAAAAAATTCTTCTGATTTCAAATTAGCTGAGGACCAAAAAGCCACCAAATTGAAAAATCTAGATAAAAAAATCTAATGAGAAAATTAGGCTAAAAAAGAAAAGTATCATAAAGAACTGTTCATTTAATATTGTCCTGCCTACAAGACACTCACTTCAGATGTAAGGACACACATAGACTGAAGATAAAGGAATGCAAAAGGATATTTCATGCAAATGGAAACCAAAAGAAAGCTGGAGTAGCTATAGTTACATCAGACAAAATAGACTTCAAAATGAAGACTGTAATAAGAGACAAGGGCATTACATAATGACAAAGGGATCAATCCAAGAGGGTATAAAATTTGTATGTATTTATGCCCCGAGTATAGGAACACCCAAATATATAAAGCAAATATTAACAGACTTAAAGAGAGAAACAGACAATACAAGACAGCAAGGGACTTTAATACTCTATTTGCATGTATGGCTGGATCATCAGACAGAAAATCAATAAGGAAATATCAGCCTTAAGCCACGTTACACCAGATGGACTTCAGATATATACAGAACGTTTCATGCAAAGTAACAAAATACACATTCTTCTCAAGTATACATGGAAGA